AAAGTAAAAGATAAAAACAACAGTGCATGAGTCAATCAAGTAGCCAAAATTTAAGTGCTTACCATGTCTTTTATGATAGACATGAGAAAATGAACTTCCAGCAGTTCTTTATACAATATTTAGTCATGGTGTACTATACTTACATTGATCAATTTAAATTACTCCTCATTAATAAACTTGGCTTGTTTCTTTAAGAAACTCAATAAAACATAAATAGATTCCCTTTTTCTTTTTTTTTGAATTCTTAACTGTCTCTTTGAGGAAAGAAGTTAAATAAAACTTTTGAAAGGCCAACAATTCTTTTTTCCCCTCTACTTTAAAAGCAAACTGACTGTGCCGTTTTATTTGTGTCAAGCAGCTTGCACTTCCCATTTCGATTTTCTTCAGCTACTAATGCTATCTTGCAGCAGTGCTGTTCAGTGGGCCCAGGGGAGCAAAGTGTCAGTTTTTCCAGATGGCAAGCTGCCAATTCTATAGCACACTGTTGAAAGTCACTGATAGACTTCATTTCATTGCAGAACAATCAAGGAACAGCATCTATTTCATGCACAACTTTGTATATGATCGGCTAACAACAGCTGATGAAGTGGGCCTGAAAAACAGACAGATTTAGAGATAGAGAGACAGAGACACAGAGAGAGAGAGAGGCAGTGAGATGCAAAGAGAGAAAGAAAGATTCTATTTTAGTGAATTTAGCCCATTTTCTAGGCTATTATAGAATGATATACTTCATTTTGGGGGCAGAAAGTTTTAAAACGTTATTGCCAGTTTATAGGAACTTCTATCCTAATAGCTGGAACAAAATTCTCAATTTGCCCTAATTAAAATACTAGTATTGAGAAATGAGTTTTTCCCCTTTCATATTTAAACTGAACATTTTAAAAAGTTAAATCATTTTAAATGGTCTTTAAATTGCATTCTCTCTGTCAGAATTGTTTACTCTTCTTGCCTGAGGAGAAAAACCTCCATGTAGGAATATAGTATCAGAGTGGAGTAGAAAGTGGCTTTTCTGTAACATGTATTTTGGCTATTACAGTGCTTGTATTTAAATGAGAAGCATTATTCTACCAGTGGAGAATGCTGGAGGAAAATATGTCTCTTCTTAACAGCCATATAAATGGAAACCTGAAGCATGGTGAACTGTACCATCTGCAATGTTATTTCAGGAGTTGAACAGATATATCTACAGGTAGAAAGTTTAAATGCAAAGAGCTATAAATCGAAGGATTCAGGCAAACATAGCATATAAATTATGAAGGTTTGCAACCAAAAGACAGGGATTCCAGTTCCA